CCCACCTGGCGCTGCGCCCCCCCGCTGAGCTGGAGGCTGTGTTGGAGGCCGATGGCCGCGCGGGTGAGGCAGGGAGGGCAGGCGGGCATAGAGGGCGGGGGCGGCTGGCTGGGTGCTGGCTGGCAGGGCGGCCTTCAGGGTGGGTGGGAGGATGGCTGGCAGGGCGGGTGGCTGGCTGGCTGGGCGGGGCTGGCTGGCTGGGCGGGTGGCTGGCCGCGCCGGCCGGGCTGGGGGGTGCGCGGCGCCGCAGGCTGGCCCAGGGTCAAGAGAAGGCTGCGGGCTGCGGTTGGTCAGAGGCGCATGTGTGCTGTGTGCTGGAGGGCGCAGGGCCTACACGGGCCAGCCCCCACCCCACCCCATCCCATCCCCACTGCGGCCCCGCCCCCATTCAACCCCCACCCATCCCCAGTCACACCCCTGCATTCACCCTGCCTGACCAGCGCGCATTTCCACCCCCCACCCCCACCCCACCCCACCACCACCACCGCCCGCAGACGGCGCCGCCGGCCTCGAGGCCCCGCTGCAGCTGGGAGCGGACGGGGCGGCGGCGGCGGCTGTCGCGGCCCCCGGCGGCAACGGCGGCGGCGCCCCGCTGGACGCCTTTGGGCGCGCGGTGGTGGCCTGCCTGGCGCAGCTGGCGGTGGCGGCTGGCAGCGATGCGATGTGGAAGCAGCTGAACCACCAGGTGGGTGCTGGGTGGTGGGGAGGTGTGTGCTGGGTGGGTGGGAGGTGGGTGCTGTGGGGTAGAGGTGGGTGCTGCTGGGCAAAGACGCAAGGAAGGAGGCGCTCGGGGCGGGTGCTGCTGGCTGCTGCTGGCTGCTCCTGGCTGCTGCTGGGCGGCTGGCGGGTGCCGCGCCGCACCTGCCTGCTTCCCCCCTTGCTCCATGCCTGCCGTGACGCGCCCGTCATGCCAACCCACACCCACCCGTCACTGCCCTCTCTCACCCCTCCCCTCCCCCTCTCTCTTGCAGGTACTGATGATGACTCGCTCCCTGGAGCCCCGCACCCGCCTGCTGGCGCTGGAGACAGTGGGGCAGGTGAGGCTTTTTGGGGTGCTGACGAGGCGTGCCGCTGGGGCTGGGCCCGGCGGGCGGCGGGCGGCCCGCGGCTGCTGCTGCGCTGCGCTGTGCCCCTGCACCTCCCCTCCCTCCGCACACCGATTTTGCACCCGCCATATCCACACACCCACACACACACCACGTCAGCACCCGCCGAGCAAAGACCATGCCAGCACCCACCTGCACCCATCACGCCAGCACCCTGCCCCCCTCCGCAGCTGGTGGCGCGCCTGTCGGAGGAGTACCTGGCGCTGCTGCCCGAGACGCTGCCCTTCCTGGCGGAGCTGCTGGAGGATGCTGAGCTGGTGGTGGAGGGAGCGGCGGCGGCGCTGGTGCGCCGCCTGGAGGCGCTCAGCGGCGAGCCGCTGGATCAGTACCTGCGCTGAGCTGGCGGGCGGTACCGCCGCTGGTGGTGCCCCCTCGGGCGCTGCCGGCCGCGGCCCGGGCGCTGGGCGGCGACCCGCGCAGTCCGGCCACGGCCCTGCTCCTGCTGCGGCGTTTTGCAATCTGGATGCCTCTCCATTTCGCTGTCCCATGATGCTTTGCCATGTCAACAGCAGCAGAAACACAACCTTTGCCCCAGGTCGCCAGCGCAAGCGGCTGCACCCTGGCCGTTCCAGCTGCAGGCGGCGACTGTCTTGCCCGCGGGGGGGCCTGCCAGCCTGCCAGCTTCTCCTGATGGGTTCGCCCACGCTTGCAGTTCACGTGTCAGCACGAGCAAGCTTGCAGCACAGTTCACAAGTGCACAGTTTTGGTTTTTTAGTTGCAGATCGCATTCCCCCGCTCAGCTCAGGTCAGGTCAGCAGGCCCCTGCCGCTGAGCTGGTACTGCCGGAACGCCTCGCAGCGCTCAAAGGCCGGGGTGAGCGACTGCGCATAGATGGCGTCGAGCAGCGTGGGGTGGTGCGCCGAGATGTGCTCCAGCAGGGCGCACCGCACTTTCCTCCACTCCGGGGTGGGGCCCGTCCGCGCGGGGATGGGCGGCGGCGCCTCGTAATCGAAAGCCTGCAGGAAGGCCTTTGCTTTGTCACGCCGCTTCCAGATGTCGACTGTGTGGAACAGGTGGTGGAAGCCGTCGAAGCGGCCGGTGACCCCATCCTTGTGCTTCACCTGGGGTGGGGCAGCGGGGGGCGGCGCGGCGGCAGCAGGGCAGGGTGAGGCACCTCCGGGCAGCGAGCATGCTGCTAGCAAGCTGCTGTGCATGCCTGCTGTCTCACCGGGCCCTGCACTGCCAAACACACTGGGCCTGCAGTTTCCCTCCCCTCCCCGCCTCACCCCCCCCACCCTTCAGGCCAAAGGCCAGGGCGCTCCGCACCCCACGAGCGGACTCACCAGGATCACCGGGACGCCCATCCCCGCCGCCGGCACGCCGCAGTGCAGGCGTGTGGTGATGATGACCTTGGCCTCGGCGTACCGCGTCAGGTACTCAAAAGTGAGCTTCACCCTGAACATGCCGTCGCCGGTGCGCTTGTCGTGCACCTTGGGGTTCAGCCGGCACTCCGGCCGGTTGATGCCCGGCGGCAGCAGGGGCAGCAGCTCGTTGGGAACGTCCACCAGCAGGACGGGGCACTGTGGTACCGCCCCCGGCCGCGCCATGCTTTCCAGCGTGGACGTCATGCAGTAACTCAGGTAGGATGGCACGCCCGGCAGCTTGTTGCGCAGGAAGGTCAGGGTCTGGTTGTCGCGTGCCCCGAAAGGCCCCCCGTGCTGCTTCAAGTACGCTGCCGAGGTGTTTGCCGTCACGTTCTTGTACCTGTGGCGGCGGCAAGGACGCGCGGCGAGGCAGCCGGCGGCGGCAGGTCAGGCCGCCAGGCATTCCCCACACAGCTGCACGAAGAGTATGTCCCAGGACGCGAGCCCGCCCTGCGCCCGGCATCACAGTGTGTGACGCCTGTGGGTGCAACACATGTCAGCAGCAGGAGGGGCAGCAGCGCATGCCATGCTTACATCGAGGGGCTGATGTGCATGGAGACCAGGATGGGGTTGATAAAGGCGGGAGGAGGCCAGTAAGTGCCGGTGCGTTTGTAGCCCCTGAAGGAAAAGCACGCAAGGGGAGCGGTGCGTGCAGGCTCAGAGGGCCTTGCCGGCCGGCGGCAGCGGCTGGTGGGCTGCAGGTGTTGGTTGCAGGCGGGGCAGGCACAGCACACACAGCAGGCTTACCAGAAGGCATTCATGATGAGCAGGATGGAGCCATCCGAAGCCGTGGAAGGGGTCACCAGCCGCATGTTGTCCCTTTCGACGCGAGCGTCAATGTAAGGCAGCCACTGCACATAGATTGGAGGCGGGCTTGTTGGGGCGCTGGCTGGCTCGGAGCGCCTCCTGCGCCCGCAGCCCCACCACGCCTCACCTGCGCGGCAGCCAGCATTTGCACGTCGTCGCCTGCGCTCAAAAGGGCAGGCAGGGGGGAGAACTTGCAGCTAGGATGGGGTGCCGTGCAGCCCGTCCGCCGGCAGCTGGCATTGCAGCAGCCTTACCCAAGTTTGGGCCATCCTTATGGGAGAGCTGGTACCGCACAAGCTGGTCATGCCACAGGACGCCGTAGTGCAGCCGGGGGTTTGGGGAAAACAGGACCGGTCCTGCACCGACAAAGAAAGCGGCGGCGATGTTCTGGAGCAGAGCCCACATGTGCATGCAGGCGTGGCGCATGCGCAGGCTGCGCGCGCGCTTACCACTGTCAAAGTCGATCCACCCGCTGGGCTCGCTCGATGCAAAGGGGCAGGCGCCTAGCCACTGCTGCTGCTCAGCAAGCCCCGAAAACTCGCTCACAAAGTCGGCAATCGCTGCCTTGACCTCCGCATGGCCGCGCGGCGCATACAAAGCGACGGCCTGGCCGTCGACATCTGCGCACCATGGCAAGTCGGATGGGGGCGGCGCCGGCCCTTGCACAGTGCCGCCAAACTCGACCGCCGTCCCGCCATACTCATACAGGGCGGACAGAAGGACCATGCGGCGGAACAGTTGGGGGTAATTTACACCCGAGGCGACTTTGTTCCAGGTATGGTTCCTGTGTGACAGCAGAGGGGCAGGCAGTGGCAGGTGTCAGCAGGCGGGCACGCCGGCAGCGCGGCGGCGGCAGTGGCCACTCCCTTCTCACCGAAACCATTCGGCTGCGGGTGCCTCGGCTCCTAAGAACTGCCTCACTGAGATCATCCTGACGTCCACAGATTCAGGCAGAGAACAGCGGCTCTCGTAGCACGAGAGAGTCATGCACAAGAGCAGGACCCGCTGCCTTGCGGCAGGGGCGGCAGCTGATCTGACCGATCTCAATGCTTCCTTTGAGAAGGGGATGGCCAGGTCGGTCCATATGAAGAAAAGGTCGGCGGAAGAGACGCTGCCAACGGCATCGGGGCACGATGCCTCCCCGCTGCGATACCATGCCCTCTCTTTGATGGTGCTGATGGCTTCATGCCCTCCACTGCTAACGAAAACAAACAGCAAAATAAAACTGGCTGGGATGGCCACAACGAGGGGCAACCCGGCCAGGCCGTCCCCACCCTTGGCCGCTGTGGAGTTCTTCATGCTTTGTGGCCCACAAACAGCAGTTTTGTGTTGGTAAAAAGTACGGTGAGCCGCGTGAACATCGGCAGCTGCCTTTATGCATTTGGCGGAACTCCCCTCGAGTCGAATCGTCTGCATCAGAGAACGGCGGGAGTGAAGGGGGACTGAAACCGGCAAGCCACGAATGCTCTAATACCCGGCGCCGGTTAACTTGTTGTGGCGACCCTCAACCCCACGGGGCTTCTCGATGCCTGCTGCCGCCTCCGCTGCTGAGAGCCAGGTGCGTCTCTGAGCCGCAGCCGAGCCGCAGCTGACGCAGTTGGTGCCATGGCGGGGCGGGCGGCACCGCTAGTCGGGCGGCGCACATGTATGGCGTAAAGGTGGCAGCCCCTGGAGGCGCATGCGGTAAGGTGCCTTGCTGCTGCCATGCCCAACCCTGGCCCCACATGCTCGCATGCTGCTCAGCTGCAGGCCACAACCACTTGGCACGTGCACGTGCTGCTCTGAAGGCTGTGCGCTCAAGCTCCCCACCTTGGATGGAGGCAGATACCAGGCCCGAGCAACCGCCGACGGCGGGGAGCTGGCCGCGCGTGATCGTGTGGGCTGTCGTACTAGCACTGCTTGTGGCGCTCGCCGCCGGCAGCCACAGCGTCGGCGCAGGGAGCTGCGGAGGGAGGGAGGCCTGGAGCGTGCTGGGGATCCGGAAGCTGGTGCGGTAACGCTCCCTGGCCTGCAACCGCAAACCGCCTGCTTGCAACCGGGCAGCAGTCCGGCGCTGACGCAGGTACCGGGCCCCCGACCCCGCAGGCGGCTCACGGCGCTGCCCCCACGCATGCCCTGCAGCGCCTGCTGGCGAGCCTGCCTCCGCGGCACGACGTGGACGGGCCGTGCGGTGCCGATGAGGCCGCCGCACTCGAGGCCGCCGCAGGGATGCCCTTCCTCCCGCCGCTCTTCGTACGCATCTACCTGCTGGATGGCGACGCGGGCGCTGCCGGTGCAGGCGGTGCCGATGGCGGCCTGTGCGGCGTGTTCCAAGCATGGGACGGCGGCGCCCGCGTGGCGCTGGTGGGCGGCGGCCCGCTCAGCGCCGCCGACCGCGCCGCTGTCGCCGCCGCGCCCACCGTTGTGCGGCCCAAAGAGCTGCGCGGCCTGGCAGGAGCGCCCAGCGGGCACGCCGGGGCGTGGGTGGTGGCCGCCCGCCGGGCCCAGGAGGCAGCTGGCCCCCAGGAGGCCTCGCGCCGCAAGCGTGCCAGCCTGCTGTTCTCCAGCCGCGCCCCAGGCAGCCCCGACATGCTGGCGGCGGCAGAAGCAGCGCTGGGCGGCGGCGGGCGGCAGCGCGTGGAAGCGGCTCGCTACAGCTGGGATACTCCCGCGGACGGCCCCTTTGCGCGGCGGGCGGGCGAGGCGCTCGACTGGCGGCAGGCGGCGGTACAGCTGCGCGGCATGCGCGGCGCTGGCGGCGCGGGGCTCGCCATGCTCAATCTGGTCCTGTACTGCCTGCCGCCGGGGGGGCGTGTGGACCTGTACGGCTTTGGGGGCGCCCCCTGAGCTTCCTGGCAGCGCCCGCCCTGCGCACTATGACAGGCCGCTTCACCAGGCCAGCTGCCATGACCTGCCCACCATCTGTGCCTTTTTTTCCTTCACCTCAACCGTGTTGTAAACCACTTTTCAAACGCCAAGCTCAGGACAAGTGGGGCACACAGCAGGGCACCATTGGGGCCGTGTGGGCATGCAGCCCAGATAAGCAGTAGCTGCGCTGAGCTGGCAGGCGGTGCCGGGCGGTACTGGCTATGGGCACCCACCCCAAAGCTCCACTGCGTGTGCTGCTGTACTGCGCGCCTGGGGCGGGCGAGGCGCTAGCGCTAGCGCTGGAATGGCTGCTGAGTGCCGCCCAGCTGCGCGCCATTCGCGGTGCTGGCGGCGCGGGGCTCGGCATGCATGGATATGCTCAACCTGATCTGCCTGCCTGCCTGCCTGCCTGTCTGCCCGCCTGCCTCTCCTTCGACGGTTGCAGCTCTGAGGCCAGGCACCACTTCCTTGCAACTTGTCTGCCTCCGAAGGGACTGATTACATGAGCCACCCTCCCGCCTTGCGGCGAGGCTGTCTGCAGAACTCTGGCAATTGCAATGTGTGCTTTGCGCTCCAAGCCCCCCACCCCCTCTCTCCCCTCTCCAGTTGCAGCCACTACAGCTGTGTGTGTGTGTGTGTGTGTGTGTGTGTGTGTGTGTGCTGGTCTGGTGACTCTGTGGAGCTGTGTGTGTTACACACAGCAATGAGTGTCGACAATGGGAACGTCTACACAATCTCCGCTAGCCACACAACACCATGTCCAGCGGCGCTCGCGCGCCGCTCCGAAGAAAGCGGCTCCGCCGCCTCTGACGCCGCCGGGCGCTCTGCCATGCCGTCCGCCGTCTCGTCGCCCAAGCTGCCTGCGTCCCCGGAACACTGACTGCCGCTCTCCCTGCAGCGTACTCGCTGCCGCCCTGCGAGCGGCGCACAGCGGCCACGACCAACCCCAGCTCTCTGCTGCCGGCATCGCCCTGTCGGCCAACGGCGCAACCCTGCGCCCGCTCAGCAGCTGGCCGGCCCAGCGGCGCACTGCCCTCGGGTGCCGTCGGCCCCCGCTACCCCTGTCGCCCGCTGCCCCTCGTTGCCCCCAGCCCAGCGCCCCGGCTGAGGCGCCCAGCGGAACGGCAGCTGCCGCCGGCCCGCCTCGACGGCTCTGCTGCGGTCTGCCCATCCCCTCCGCTGTGGCGGAGGGCCACCCCAACCGAAAAGCACCCACGAGGGGCGGCAGCTGCGAAAACGGGGGGGCGTCGCACGTGCCTGTGTGGCACGGGGCGAAGCTGCTGCCTGCGGAGAAAGCGACTGGAGAAGCAGGCTTGCCAGCCAGGCTAAGGGCTGGGCAGCGTGCCACTGCGTCAGACAGCCACGTGCTGTCTGACCCCTCTGCCCCCTCCATACTGGCGCAGCAGCCTGCTGTGCTGCGCCCCTCCCAGCAGACCCAGCACAAGCCTGGCTTGTGTCTCATGCTCAATGGACACAAGCTTGCGTGTGTGTGTGTGTGTCTGCGCGCGCGCGGAAAGGTTGACAGGAAAAATACAAGGAGAAGAATACAGGGAGAAGAATATCAAATAACATGCAGGTAACCCGAGTGTAGTATCTGAACGCTCACGAAGGGGGGCGGTATGCATGTTTGGGTGCCTGTGTTGGCAGGAGGCGGCAGGGGAGGTGGCGGCGGGAGTCGCAAGGTTCATGTGGGAAGGTTCATTTGTGTGAAGGGGCCGCCGCGCAGGAATGTGCGCCGCAGCCCCGCTGGTCAGAGCATGCTTCTTCTCAGGCTGGACGGGGCTGGCGGGGGCTGGGCGGCGCATGAAGGCGCCGCCTAGCTGGGCCCGCCAGCCAGGGCGCTGCCACCGGCAGCTGGCAAAGCTGGCCGGCGGGGAGAGGAAGGCCGGGAAAACATGATGGTGGAAAAACCACTGGAGGGGTGCGCCGCTGGGCGCGCACCCCGCGAAGAAGGCTGTTGCTGCTGCTGCTCGCGCCGCCGTTTGGCGTCGCCCGGTACCGGCTGCTGTCCCGCTCAGTACAGGTAGCTGCCCGCACCCTCGATGTCGAGGCTGCCGGAGCGCCTGGTGGGCATGAAGAAGAGCTGCAGGCAGCCCGCCAGGATGCGCTCGGTGTAGGGCAGCTTCTGCAGCTTCTTGAGGAACTCGGGTGCCTCGCTGCGGTCGACGGCAATCAGCTTCTCGTTGTAGCCCACCATGCGGTCCATCACATCCCAGAAGCCGGGGGCGTCGCAGTCGGGCACCTGCTCGGGAGGGTGGCGGTGGGAGGGAGCGGGGCAGGAGGTGAGTGCACGGGAGGGCGAGGACAAGTGCTAGGGAGGAGGGCGGGAGGCGGGGGCGGGGGACGGGCACACAGCAGGCGCCCGGGTCGCGGCTGTGGCGCGCGGCCGGGAACAGCACGCCAGCCCGCGCGGGGGCGTCGGCAGGCGAGGCCCGGCCGGCGCCAGGCCAGGCCAGGCCCGGCGCCGCGCAGTGGAGGGCGGGCAGGCCTAGGCGCGGGCGCACCTCTGGGAACACGCGTGCGGCGGCGTTGTTGGTCTCGACGATGACGTGGCGGTCGAACTGGGTGGTGTTGAGGCCCAGGGCGCAGTACAAGTCGGAGCGGGAGTGGTCGCTGAGGTACATAGAGATGTAGACGGAGAGGCAGAAGAAACGGGACCACAGGCTGCGGTACCGGGGGCCGGGGCGGGTGCCACCATCAGTGAA